GCAGCAGCAAAGCGGAGGAAGAATTTGATATTCAGCGCTGCAGAACTCATTGGTACGTACCACCTTGAGAACATGGCAAATAGAAAAGAGTACCGACAAGCTAAAGAGAGTGGATATGATTGGGTCATCCGGACACTAGGGCATAGTACTGAATGTTACAACATGTTTAGAATGGAAAGGGCAGTGTTTGATAGCCTGCACAATTTACTAGTGCAATCATATGGATTGAGGTCGACTAGGAGAATGTCATCAGTGGAGTCTTTAGCAATGTTTTTATGGATGGTTGGTGCCCCTCAATCTATTCGGCAGGCTGAAAATCGTTTTGTTAGATCAATGGAGACACTTCATAGGAAGTTTGATAAAGTGTTGGAATGTTTGGTTAAGTTGGCAGGAGACATAATTCGGCCACTAGATCCAGAGTTTAGGACACCTCATCCAAGAGTACGAAATCCAATGTTTGCTCCGTTCTTTGACAATTGCATTGGAGCCATTGATGGAACACATATAGAGGTGGTCGTGCCAAAGACAGAGCTCATCACACACATGAACCGAAAATCAAAGACCAGTCAGAATGTGCTAGCAATTTGTGATTTTGACTTGAGATTCACCTTTATCGTTGCTGGGTGGCCTGGGTCGGTTCATGACATGAGGGTATTCAAGGCAGCAGTTGACAAATTTGGAAGCCTCTTCCCACATCCTCCCCAAGGTAAATATGGATTTTGATAAACATTTCTTTGATCAATTCGATGATTGTCATTTTTCTAACCGTTAACATTAACATTGTAGGGAAATTTTATGTGGTGGACTCGGGTTTCTCTAACCAGCCTGGTTATCTTGCACCGTACAAAGGTACAAAGTACCATTTCCAGGAGTACAACCAAGGTCCACCACCAAGAGGTAAAAAACAAACCTTTAATCATAGACATTCCCAAATTCGCAATGCAATAGAGCGTTCCTTTGGTGTACTGAAGAACAAGTGGAGGATTCTGTTACACATGCCCTCTTATCCACCACCAAAACAAAGTCAAATTATTTCAGCATGCATGGCTATACATAATTACATTAGAGAGAGTAAATTGGAGGATAGAGATTTCCAAGAGTGTGATGATGATGAGGAGTTCATTCCTATGGGGGATGAGCCTATTCGACTAGGACGCCGACACCAACGTCGAAGACGTGCAACTCAAGCACAGGGGCAAAACACGAGTGATGATCATAACATGAACGTTTTTCGTGATTGGATAGCGGAAGGATTGCATACAAGGAGGTAATTTGTATTTGTTTCAATGCCGAACCATGCAATTTGTATTTCTGTGTGACGACTTGTATCGATACTTGTATGGATATTTGTATGCATATTTGTAATGGATTTGTAATCAATAAAATGAGATGGCCGCTTTGATTTGACGATGATGATCTGTACGGTTCTGTGATAAGAAAGGAAAATGTGGGATTTTGGTTGGGCTGCTGCGTTCAATTTTCTGCGTGGTGACGATGATCTGTACGGTCCCTAACAGGGTCGTTCAATCTCAGGGAGCGTGCGCGGGAAGGGAAGGAGGGGGAGGTGGGGTTAACAGGGTCATTAATGAGCTTATAAGTCATCTACAACCAAACAGGCATGACTTATAAGTCACTAGTTTTCAGTCACCTGACTTAATAAGTCACCTGACTTATGGAAACCAAACAGGGCCTTAACTATCTAACAGATCATAACTAATATTAGCTGCTATTAGCTAGTTAGTCCAGCTAATAAAATAGATGTTAGTTGGGTAAGAATTAGCTAAACTATTAGATACACATGTTTGATCTAAACAACTAATTATTAGCAACTAACTCTTAGCTCATTGGATCCAAAACCGTGGACTATTAGCTGCTAATAGTTAACTACCTAAGAACATCTCCAGCAGTTCGCCAATATGGCCTCTCATCCTCATTAAACTATCATATCGGGGGAGATAGACCAATTTCTTTGCTCCAGCATTTTCCCAATGAGGCTCCCTTTTTTTGGTGGCCACAAAAAAATCATTCATCTCCCCTCAAACGAAGGGGAGTTGCATCTTCCCCAATAGATGGGTCCTACAGTAACTGTCGTCTCTTCCTCTCCCCACGACCATGGTGCTTGAGAAATCCGGCCATGGCAGCACGCGTAGCAACTCAGGGCTAGGGATGGGCGCGGCGGGGGGCAGAGATGGACGCAGCGACCATGGATGTCGTGCGGACATGCCACGAGATCCATCGAGGAGCTCACGACCAAGCCACGCGGTTGCTCGCCCAAGGCACGGGACCTCGCGATCGTGGCCATGGCCGACGAACGGGGCGGCGGGGCGGCATGGCTGTGTGCACGCGAACGGGAGATAGAAGTCGCCGCGAACGGGATCGGTGCCTCCGTGCGGGGAAGAGACCGATGAGTAGAGAGAGAAAGGAAAGAAAAAAGGAAAAATAAATAAATTCTGACCTGACACATAGGTCCCACGTATTAGGAGAGATTATTGGTGATCTGCTGTAGCATCTTTCTCAATAAGTTAAAAAAGTAATATTGGGCTATCCCAATACCATCTTATTGGGAGAGTTGTATTAGAGAGCTGCTGGAGATGCTCTAATAGCTCACAGTTACTATTAGCTAGTTTAGTCCAGCTAGTAAAGTAGTTCTTAGTTGATATACAACTAACAATTAGCTAAATTATTAAATAGACCTGTTTGGATTCAATGAGTTAATTATTAGCAGCTAACTGATAGCTCATCGGCAAACAGAGCCTAAGAGCAACCATAATGTATATGGACCAAGTAGTTCATATACATAGGGTCCACATGATCAATTTATAGCTATTGTTACCTTTTCACAATGTTCAACTAACAAGTAGTCTATAAGGAGGGCCCGTTAGAAATAATATAATCTTCTTTCACCATTCTAGCCAACAAAAGAGAGAGAAGTGGGAAATAAAAATATTTTTTATTACTTATGGATAGCCCATAAGCTTATGGGTAGCTTTTACTATAGACCACTCTATTGATAGGTTTCACATTATTTCATGTAGCTGATAAGTAATATTTTAGTCTCATGAACTGCTCTTACGGATAGATTATGGTTGCTCGATCTAACATTCGGCCTGTTCGCTGGTTGGTTTCTGGGCTGATTTAGGCTAGCAGGTGCTGGTTGGTTGTGAGAGGAAAACACTATTGACTGACTGGTTTTAGCTGGCTGAAACCAACGAGCGAACACTGATCGGCAGCAGAACGCTGCACGCAACGTGACGCTGACGCCCGACGGGTCCATCTGCAGTGCACTGGCAGGCAGGAGGTCTATATGAACGTTACACCCTTGTCCGTCTTCGTCAACCACTTCTCCGCAGCCTCCGACTCCCATTATTCCCAGAGGTTGTCAATCGTGCTCTCTCATCGCTAGCTCTCCTAGACCGCTTTGATTTGATCGTTTAACGTTACACTTGGCTCGACGTCGTACGGTACGGTGTAGGCTGGCCGGAAAGGTATCTGTCATCACGGGGGCGGCGAGTGGGATTGGCAAGGTGACCGCCGCAGAGTTCGTCAGGAACGGCGCGAGGGTGATCCCGGCCGACGTGCAGTGCAGGACGACCTGGGCCACGCCGCCGCCGCGGAGTTCGGCCCCGACGCCGCGTGCTACACCCGCTGCGACGTCTCCGACGAGGCGCAGGTCGCCGCGGTCACCGACCTCGCCGTCGCGCGGTACGGCGGCCTCGACGTCGTATTCAACAACGCAGGCGTCAGCGGCGACATGGCGCCGGCGCCGGCGCTGGCCTCGGTCTACCTGGACGACTTTGACCGCGTCATGGCGGTGAACGCGCGCGCTGTGCTCGCGGGCGTCAAGCACGCCGCGCGCGTCATGGTCCCGCGCCGCGGCGGCGGCAGCATCATCTGCACGGCCAGCACCGCGGGCGTGGTCGGCGCCGTGGCGATGGCCCCCTACAGCGTCTCCAAGGCGGCGGTGCTCGGGATCGTGCACGCCGCGGCGGGGGAGCTGGCCCGCTCCGGCGTGCGCGTGAACGCCGTCTCGCCCAACTTCATCCCGACGCCGCTGGTGATGGACGCCATGGCCGTGTGGTTTCCCGGGAAGAGCGACGAGGAGCGCCAGCGCATCGTGAGGGACATGAACGAGATGGATGGACCGGTGCTGGGGGTGCAGGACGTGGCCAGGGCGGCGCTGTTCCTGGCGTCTGACGAGGCCAAGTACGTGAACGGCCACAATCTCATCGTCGACGGCGGGTTCACGTCTAGCAAAGTGCCAAACATGCCGACAACGCGGAGAATCGGATCGATGGATTCCATAGTTTTCTTTTCGGAATAACTTGCATTGTTTTGCATTGGATTGCCCTTTGTCGCGATTTGTGATGATACTTTTCTTGCTTAATTAACGTATTGTATCGAGCATTGTGAGTTGACTTCCTTATCTATGTACCACATAATACACTAGTTAAAATAAATTTACAGCTACACAACAAATATCTATTCCATAGTTATGATCTATACTACGTCTACATCCATAAATATACCTTAAAAATATAATATCATCAAAACAAATACATTATATTATTTCTTAGCCATTCTCTCTCCTTGACCATCAAATCCGAGGGCTCATGAGTGTCTGCCCTCCGTCCCTCCCGCGGACCTCCCACACCGCCCTAGCGACGCGAGACCGCGTCACCCCGACGCGAGATCGTGCCCCTGCCCCAGCGACGCGAGCAGCCTCCGAGGCTCCGCCGCCCTGTGGATGCGCGACCACTCTAGCCGGCAAACGGCAGGGGCGCAGCCGCGCAGGTTGCTGGCTACTAGGCACCGAGCGTGAGGCCGCAAGCGCCGGACGCCGGGCACCACGCCGCCACGGGCGGAGTTCCTCCCTCTGCTCGCCCGAATCCCCACGACCCAGCATCTGAATCCGGCGCGCCCCACCCCGATCCGTTCGAACCGCGCCGAATCGCCGTCGGTTGGTGCAGAACCCTAATCCGATCTCGACCCTTTACTCCGCGATGGGCGCTGGCTGTGTCTGCCGCCAGCGCCGCCGCGGGGCGGCCGTTCCCGACGCTATTGTTGCCTGTGTCCAATTGCCGCCTCGAAGTTTCAATCCGGGCGGTCTAGGAGCACCCCGGGACTGCTGCGTCGTCGCCTCCCTAGCGGGGGAGCAAACCGTGAGTCAACTCTCTCTCCGAGATCCTTGCGTTTGTTGCCGTTTTTTTCTCCCCAGCTGATTATTAGTAGTTTCTCCTATATTTTTCTATGCTGCCACAATCATTTTGTCCAAAAAAATGTTGATCCAGGTGCTTCGCCGAGGACTTCGCCGCCATCCGCGGCAACCGACCGCCACGTTGGCCACCAATACGGTCAGCAGATTGCCACGAACAAGGAAGTGCATCTGCAAGCACGCGTCCATGCCATTGTTGCTGGTAGGTTCGTTCCACCAACACTTTCTGCTGGGTTGGAGATTACAGATTAGGGAAATCTTGCTTAGTCTTAGGATCATGGCACTACTGTGATTGCTCATAAGATGGCGGTGGCGGAGGCGACAGTGGGGCGACTGTGGCTATACTCGTACTAGCACAGCTCATGTTCCCACCGTGCCCGCATCGCTCTCAATCTCAAAGGTGCGTGCTGCTCGGCCACCGCTTAATCGTACTCGGGCCATCGTCTATTGGATGGATTGGGGGCATTCGGTTGGGTTGATTCGATGTGCGCCTGAACTTTGTTTCTTTTTGCAGGTGTGGATTACGAGTACAAGGCAGTGAACCTTCTCAAGGGTGAGCAGTCTGATCCAGGTGCGTTGGTGCTACTACTTGTGATGCCTACCTTATAATACAATTGCTTGAATAAGGAGTATTAGGTACATGATCTTGCCCCTGCGATTAGAAATGTCATTTTTGCTCCCTTTCACTTATGAGTGTGGTTCGGCTGTGTAAACACTAATTAAATTATTCTGGACGATTTTGTAGGATAAAGCTCGTTGCAATTAGATTATGCAGGGAGCCTTATTTGGAAAGTCACTAATATGCTGATCTTTATGAGATGCATTGGTTGATGACAATTCTGTAATCGGTGACTCTTACGCGATAGCTTTGCCCAGAATCAAGATTTTTGTTTTATTGTCTCAGTATTGGTTATCAGTTATCACTTGAGTCATTTGTTCCTTTGTGGCTATATGCAGTGTTTAGAGGACAAGTACCCATAGCCTCCTCTTCTACCTCAAGACCTTCAAAAGAAGGCTTTAAATCACCAGGTAATTGTAGGTTCTGCAACCCCTTTTTTCATGATTGCGACCACATTGTTGAATGTGACGTGACTACTCAAACTAGCTGATGGAAATTCAGGAAAGAACATTGTTACTGTGATTGAATAACTAGCTGATGACTGCACCCTTCCATAAGCAGACTAATAGGAGGCGAAGCCACTAAATAAGTAGCACAACAAAGGAGGCAAAAGGGGAATAATTCAGTAGCTTGATTCAATTGCAGATATGGATAAATCAGTAAATATGTTTCATCTTGGGCCTACATGTTGGGTTGGTCCACAACAATGACCGGAAGCAAGCATGACTCAAAGAGAGAGAATTTTAATTGAATTTCCATAATCTTGTGTTAGACTTTCCACCTCTGTGAACAAGCAGGCATGACAGTTCAATTGAAAGAAAATAGCAGTGGCTTGATATTTATCTGCCATTGCTGAAATGAAAGCAGCACCAACTGTTGGATTGTTCGGATAAGCAAGGAAAATGGTTGGGTTTGTCTCCCTGTTTTCTTTAACTCAACAGGCTTAACTTATGACTATAGCGCCTGTTATTTATGCATTCCATTGGACATCAATGATTCATTCGTGATTTGTTGCCTATTGATGTAAAATAACAATCATACTAATAGCCATTGTTTTAATATTTCTCTGATCTTTTCATGTTTAAATGGTGGAATTTTCATTCCTTTTTTCTTTGAGAAGGGATATTTTTGTTCCTAAAGATGCACATAGGCCTGCTACTGTGCTTCAAAGTGCAGAATGCAGATCAGCCCCCACTCTAGAGTCCTAGACATGGCCATGCCATTGACTGCAATTTCTTAAAACATAGAGCTGGCCTGCTTATTGAGGCCTCTCTTATCTAGGTAGAGAAGAAGATTGGCAGAAAGTGTGCTATCTCTTGATGTCAACTTTCAGAGATCAAGACATTTAGCTACGATGATTAATTTGTGTTGTAACTTGGAAAAGTTACTCTTTAAACTTTGATTGGTACAATAATAACTTTATTGTGTCACGAACAGTCTTTTCTCTCTTTACAATGCTTGGTCAAGAAATGTCGATGGATTGCTCAATTGTGGTTCCAGCTCTTTGACTGTGTTGTGTGAACAATCAATTCAGCTTTGTATCATTTTTTAATTGCTTGATTTGTACCGCCAAATATTTGTACCGCAATAAATATAATTGTTGAGATAATTGCCTTGAAGCATTCATGATTTGTAATTTCTGTTGTATGCAATATCTTTGAATATGTTCACATTAACTTCAAGATGTGTCAAAGGCTTAGCTTAAAGAATTTTGAGAATTAATTGCATGCATGACTCGATTAGTGTGGTATGTTGTATACTTGTTTTGTATGAGTGTATGACTTTATATGTATCGATTGCGAAACTTAAACTATAGATGATACCTTAAAGCCGTGGCGTGTATACTAGTCTTGTTAGTGTATGACTTTAGTTACGTAAATTTAAAATTTTACAGAAATTTTACAGAGATCTGTGGTATAGAAGTCTCAACAATTATGCTATAAATAATTTCAAAGTGAGTATATACATAAGAAAATATAATAATAGTTTTGTATGGTATGGAAATAAACAAAATCCATCTAGAAAGGGATAAGTCATAGTCAATACATCCTTGGACCGTTGTTAGGAGTAATGATGAGATTTCTTATTGCAATAACCGAATATATTTCTAATTTTATATATGTAGTACTGCTGGTAGCGTTAGATGCAATGTTTATACCATGTCCTGCATGTGGTGGGAAAAACACCATTAGCGTTCTCTCAGCGCGTAATGAAATGAACATCCAGTTTGCTTCGTATCAGCTATGTTTATCAGCTATGATACAATGTTTTTCTTTCACAACAAAACAGCATCAGTCGACTTATAAACCACAGAAACGATCAAGCGAACTGGGTGGAAGTAATTAGAAAGCATGAGAGGCAACACGAATAGGAGTAGTACTTACCATGGGCGATCCTAGCAGTAGCGGCTCCGACGTGTCACCACAGGCAACATCAACTCGACAGCATCCAATATAAGCGACCATCGTTGACCGGCGGCAACACCCATTGAGAATGTTCCCCAAGCAAGAAGAAGCACCTGCTCCTTCCCATGGAGGAGGCGGGGGGCACAAAGGATTTGGAGATCCTGTGTGTGTCGCTATCGCTGCAGCACTGATGTATTCCTTGAGAATAAATGGAAGCCTTGAGGTGCCTGTATAGGGTCAAACCTATCATCAGACTCCATGTTTCCATAGCCTGGGTCATCGAGCATAAGCCGAGCAGTGGGTGCAGGCCGGCGCTAAGCACCTTGGTTGTCTTCTACTGCAAGTAATAGGCTAAGCGTGTGTCGTGTCAAGGAGACCATGAGCCTGCTGAAAATCCTTAAGTCATCCCTATTATAATCAAACTATTCTTTTTTAATACAAATACACGTAAATCTTTTATGTGCTCGAGAAAAAAAAAGTTTCCATAGCCATAGCAAATCAATGAACGTCACTTATATATTGGATCGGAAGTCCAGGACTCGATCAGTGTTGTCGCCAGATCAGAAGTTGGAACTCGATGTTGGATTAGAAGCCGTAGGGTCAAATTGATTGTTTAATTTACTGGCACCTGAGTTGCTCGTCCACTTGATACGTCACCATCAATGCGTTTCTGCTCCATTGTCTCTCTGCTGATCCGTTTCACGAAATTTATTCGAAGGGCCGCCCCTTGACATTCCACAGTTCGAGCAGCACATGGGAAGGGATGCTTCGGGCCTTCGGCTGTAACCAGGTACTCCCTCCATCCTAAATTGTGAGACGTTTGACTTTTTTTTGCCCCAAGTTTAATCATTCGTCTTATTCAAAAAATTTGTGCAAATATAGTCAAATTTAAGACATTCTTGAAGAATTTTTATTAATAAACCAAACCACGACGAAAGAAGTGATATTTTACACAAAATTTTGAATAAGACGAGTAGTCAAACTTGGTGTCAAAAAAGTTAAACGTCTTACAATTTGGGATGAATTTAGTAATTTGTGGTCGTGGGGCCTCTTGATAATGCGGTTCCACGAAATCGCATGAAAATACTTTAGCGGTGTTCTTCTATTTAGATATAGTAGATTGGTACGATGTTAACAGCTAATAATAACCATTATTCACCAAAATGACCGTTTAGTCCATTTAAACAATGTTTAAACGGCAAACGAAGACCAGTCGTGTTGTTTATAACCTAAATGGTGAATTAAACAGTTGAACCGTTTAACCTCGTTTAAACCGTTAAAAACAGTTTAAACAATCTAAACAAATTTGAGTTAAACACAATTAAATGAGCTAAACAAACATTTAATTCACCATTTTGGTCAATAAGAGAATTATAATTATCACATTTGGCACCAAACTAATTAATATCGTAAGTATACAAGGTGTTGTAGAACGCCACCTAGCCGAGCGTCCGTCAATTCCACGAGCCTTTTGTCCCCATGTGAATGTAAAAAAAAATCCTTCCTCCCCGCCGCCGCTCCCAGCGCTGGCACCGTCGCTCTGCTCTCCATAGCGCCACCGCTCCGCCCTCCACAGCGCCACCGCTGCTGCAGCTGCTCGACCCCTCCCAACACTGCCACCGCTGCTCCGCCCCTTATAGCGGCGGCATCCTCGCGAGCGTCACCTCTTCGATCGTAAATCGGAGATTCCAAGACCGATAGGTTGTCTCCTCTTTTCGGGTTGAGACCAATAGGTTGTCTCCTCTTTTGGGGTTGCTTTCTATTTTTGCATTGGATTCATGATTTTACGTTTCTTCATCTCCACTCCTGCCTATTCTAGGGTTAGGATTTTGGGCCAAAGTTAGGGAAGAGTGGTTCCCCTCTGATTTTAGCATGTTGTGTTCAAAGATTTGATAGATCCATTCTTAGTTTGTCATATTTTCCATTTTTTGGCTCAACTTCTATCTCTTCTCAGGCTCTTCAACTGTTCGACGAATTATCTTTGTAGGCCATGGTCGCGTCGGTCAAGTTCCAGGTGATGTCGCCCCCGGTCGAGCACCCAGGGCGAAGGATCCATCGGTTCGTGTCCCCCCTTCCCTGCTGCTGCTTCCTATTGTCATTGGTTTTTATTTCTTTTATTGGTGTTGACGTATTTGTATATTGCGTAGCTGTTGAGTTCCACATGCCCCCATCTGCTCCCTGCTGCTTTGGCCAGGCCAATCCCCTGAGGTGCCACTAGTCATCTCCATGGCACTTGAAGACGTTTTGATGAGGTCTTTGTTTCTCCATTAACTTCAGCTCTTTCATTGAATGAATAGATAAATGAATGCTGACTAAAATCCTGACTCTTCACTACCACTCTGGACTAGACGACTGTACTTAGCATGGAGTCTAGAGAGGACATAAACTAATTATGTAGCAGGCACTATGTAGTGATACGCTGTGCCTTATGCCTTCTTAATTTATCTACTTGCTCACATAGTGTGGTCTCTTTATTTATGTTGGTAGCTACATTCTAAAATATCCTCTATCTATTATTAGATATCTTATCCTATTGTTTGCTAATCTTCATTTTTATTGTTAATATGGACTTCACCTACATTGCGGCAAGCATAGAACTACTCATCACTGAGTTTAGGGAAGACTAAAACAAAAAATATTTCCTCATCCCGTACCATTCATCATTGATTATTTCACTAAGTGAGCAACTAACCTCCTACCACAAAGAACATGATTTGCAGCCTTGGTTGATTGATACATTGTGATTGTCATATATTGTCTGCCTTTGTTTCCTTTTGCTTTGGTATATGCTCCCGAATTTTATTTTCCAATTGCAATTTAACAACGATGCTTATTTAATTTCATATTTTTTTGCTTAACTAGGTTCATGAAAAGATGATGGAGAGCCCAAATAAAACAAGAGGTTCTATATTCAGGTACCATTTGTTCATACAATAGTGCGATCTTCATGAAGTATTTGGTCGCGGCAGTCATGATAGGTTATTTAGCTTATGGGACATTCCAACATAAATTGGTATTTTTTGGTGTAGCTAAAATAGGTCCAAAAAAAAAGACTACCTGATCATGTTGACCACATATTATATATAAATACATGTCTTAGCCATCATTTGACAATTTGTGTGCTAATCTTTTCGTTTTCCTTGATAGGAAACTCACCTACTCAATAGGAAAACACATGGTGGTGTCCTACTTTATGGTCTGCAAATACACGCTGCTTCACCTAAATGTTATTTTTCCCGTAAGTATCACATTTCTTATTTGAATTGATGGTTGTCCTGCCGGTACTCTCAATTTCTAATTACTTGCTGATTGTTGATAGAAATGTTATATGGTGCCTTCTTTCATTGTCACTTCCACATACTAGCCATTCAATTGGTATATATTACCTCATCATTTATTTTACAAAAATTAAAGTGATAGGCAATAGATCATTGACAAAATGAGCGAAAATATAAAAATTTAGGCACTCTACAAAAGGGTGATAGTGTAACATAAAGTGTGTTTTTTTCCCAACCTACGTTAGTTGCCAATCTCTCTCATTGTCACTTCCACATACTAGCCGTTGTTCCCCTTCACTGGTCGATCAGGTGCAGTTTGAGTGGCCACACTCATAGCGGTGGCGAGAGGAGCTCTTGTGATGGTCGCCGCTTCCATAGAAGCAGGAGGTGGTGGAATTGTCAGAGCCGCTATTGATGCAGCAGTAGGAGCTCCTCCAATGTTCACATATTTAGCGACCGCATGAGGTGCAGGCGGAGTAGGAGTTGCCACGACCACTGCAAGAGCTCCATGATACCCGCGATGGCGATGAGAGGATTTGTGTTGTCATCGTCGTCATCGATGACAATCATGAAATTTTCATCGCTGCTGCGGTCGTTCTCTATGACCATGTTGTTGTCATGCATGGTGACTGCTATGTTGCGAACAGTGACATTAGACTAAGATCTAGAAACTTTTACCTCCAAGTTCTCATTAGTAGGTGAGACAACAGCGTCGCCACCCCAAGCTACGTCGCCATCAGGTCACATTGGATCTACATGACCAGTGACATGTCCGACTGTTCTTCACCAAGGGCATCTCTAGGGCTCCCACTGCGGTGCGCGACA